CCAGTATGGTCTTCAGCACATTTCCCTAATGGCAGATACTGGTACTTCTTCAGACGGGGGGATTGAGATAGGAGTTGGACCCCATTTACAAGTGGATAGAGTAGCCAGAAAAGAAGACTACTGTGTGGCTCCTGACAGTTCTCCCAGTCACCATATTCCTTTGACCTTAGACATGTAAATCTTGTTCTTGAATAATTCATGGCCCAAAGCTTCTAGCAAAAGAATCTCCTGTTCATTGTGCCCACTCAAATTAGGAGAATAGTTAGACCTATCCAGCATGTGGCCCTCCCTACCAGGAGGGGAATGCAAGAACAAGCCCCACCTCAGAAAAAAGTTTGTAGAGCCATATTAGCAGCACATTAGGTAATTATTAAGGAATTATTAAACCTAAGTCCAGACAAAGCCCTTCCTGACCCAAATAAAAAACCCTTGCCACAGTTCTTTCTTGACAATGCATTTTTTTCAGGATCCTTCCTTTCTCGGGAGCTCTGTTTTTCCTTCCCTATCTTTTAATAAACTCCCCATTTTGCGATATCTTATACTATGTATTTTATATGATATACTATATATTTTAAATGATATACTATATACTATGTTTATACTATATATTTTAAATGATATATTTTATATGCTACTATTATTATATATTATACTATGTATTTTGTATATATTAATACATATATATATTATGTATAATATATAATGAAATAGTACAAAATATCATATATAATGTGGTATAAATCACTGTATATATTTGTGAAAAAATAAGAAAGAAACATTTCTACAAACTAACTTGGAGGGACTTCTAGGAAATAATGTTTTTATTTTCTCTTTAAATTTATTTATTTTTTACATTAATTCACTATACATCATTACAACATACCAATGAATTTCCCATCCAAAGTACACTATATATTGGCCCAATGAAGCACATCAACATACATGTTTGGTATCCATGGTTGCTTTCAATGCCTTTCCCCCCATTTAACTGATTTGCTAATGAACTTAATTAGTCTAAATATATCCAATAGCTAGCACAGCTGATATATACCTATGCATGAACCCAAGTCTGACTTTAGGCATAAACCTCAATGAGTAGAATGAACGTTATCCAATAGTTATCACAGCTGACACATACCTATACATGAACTCAAGTCTGACTTTAGGCATAAACCCCAGTGAGTAGAAAGAGCATACTATAAAGTAGAACCCAGCTGGGCCCATACAGCTCACTGCAGTCATCAAATATGCAATTTTTTTTTAAAATGGTACGAATAGTTTTACCGTTTTTTTGTTTTTTTTTTTCTCCTGCAACTTTTCTTTTTTCTTTTTTTTTAATTTCTTAACATCCATTCCCTGAGCATCACCACAACATACTAAATGTGATTTCCCATCTAGAATAAACTGCATAGTGGCTTAATCATGCATGTTATCATCAATAATATTCCATTTCTACTTTCATATATATGTATATGTATATATATGTTTTTTACCCCATGTTTGACCCTCTGCCCTTTCT